GCCATAGTGCCAGAGGACAACATTATATCCAGGAATTAAGAACATACTCATCTCAGTTTAAGTCTCTTGTGATCCCAAACAGATTCCAAACAATGTGAGCAGCACCCTAAATTTCTAAGTGCCTTGGGATGTCTTTAAACAATCACAGTACAGACACTTCAGTCAATTACAGGATCCCAACAGAAGGAATAAAGAAGGGCACCTGCCCCTAATTGCTCCAAGCCATGCCATTCATTCACATCCTCATTCTATTTCTCCACTCTACACACTTAATCCACCTGCAAGTCAAGTGACACTGTTATGTCTCGTTTCCACTGCCTTGTTTCAGCCTTGATTATCTCTTATTGAAAACAATACAGTGATTTCTCACATGATCTTTGTCTCCTATTCTTTTCTTCAGTTGTGGTAGACAGAATATAAGCTTAGAAACAGAAAGCCCTAGATTCCAATTCTAATTCAGTCATTTATTAGCAGGATGACAAGTAGCAAATCTCTCTAAGCCTTAACTGTTTAAGCCACAAAACAATGTCTGCTTCATTTTATACACAATGAGGAGAATTAGGGGAATGGCAGAGTAAAATACTACGTTGTCATCACTGAACTCTTGATGCATTAACCAGAAAGTGGCTTTGGATTTGAGTTGTTCGCTGGCACATACCTGCAACCCTAGTACTCTGGGAGGCTGAGGCAGGAGGAGCACAAGTTCAAGTACAGCCTGGGCAACTTAGCCAGACCCTGCCTCAAAATAAAAAATAAAAAGGACTGAGGATTTAGCTCAATGTGAAGGCCCTGGGTTTAATCCCCAGTACTGTTAAAATACAAGAACACGTTGGCTGGGGATTTAGCTCAGTGGTGCTGCCGCCTGCCTCGCAAGCGCAAGGTCCTGAGTTTGATCCCCGGTACCAAAAACAAAAAACCAAAAAACCCCCACAAAAACAATAACACAAATTTGTCTGCTAATATGCTATAGATTGGGCTTTTATTTTTTTAAGAAAAGGCAAGGTAATTGATGCCCCAAGTTTCATTCAAAACAATATAAAAGAAGCTGGATACTAAACCTAAACAGCTGATTATATTTAGCATTCTGACCTCCAGGTTTCCTTCCTCATCAACTTTTTAGGGAGGTAACTGCACAGAGTACTTAACCAGTGTGCCCTTTGGCTGCAGCAAGGACAGGATATTCCAGGGAAAACTGATTCACAGGGAAGAGCTTATCCTAAAATCTATTTTAAAATAATTTATTTTATAATTTCTTTTTTTTGGGTACCGGGGATTGAACTCAGGACCTTGTACTTTCGAGGCAGGTGCGGTGTCACTGAGTTAAATTCCCGGCCCATAATTTCTGTTAAGAAAGTATTATATTGAAAATAAACAAGATATCACAGTACTATTCTTTTCTCCCCTGAGTACCAGGAATCAAACTCAGGACCTTGTGCTTAGCAGGCAGGTGCGGCACCACTGAGCTACATCTCTGGCCCATTACACAACACCTTTCTTAAACCAACCACCAGGCTGGGGATTTAACTCAGTGATGCGTCGCCCGCCTTGCAAGCACAAGGTCCTGAGCTCCAACCACGGTACCAGAAAAAACCCCAAAAGACCAAAAACCCCAATAATAAACCAACCATGAAACTCAAGGTTTTGAAAGGGGATAAAGTCTGGACTTAAGTTAGGTTCAGAAAAAAATTTGCCTGGGTACATAAATTCTGTGAGCTTAATGTAAAGACTTACCTAGTTGATTATAATAAAGCTGAAATATGTTGTGAAGGCTATAAACTGAAACGCTTTAGAGAACTTGTTAGTTTCTCAATCTAGTAACAGTACCAACCCTGATACTTTTTTTTTTTTTTTTTGGTACCAGGGATTGAACTCAGGACCTTGCCCTTTCGAGGCAGGTGGCCGAACCATTGAGCTAAATCCCTGGCCCCCCTGACACATTCTTTAGAAAGAGTGTGTTAAGGTAAGGAATAACAATTCTTTAATAAACTACTTAATGTTCAACCTCTTTAAGAGTACAACAAGACTCGATATTCTTACGTTTATTTCAGTGCTTCAGCAGGCAGCTCTAAAAGGACAAAGGAGTCTTTCTAAGCAATGATCAGAATGCAAACATTGAGAGTGAAACTTAATCCTTATTCTCACAGAGACATATATGATTTATATATAAATCTTAAAATAATGAAGTTATGATAAAATTATATCACTATTTTGCAATGTATAGTGAATCAATGGATCACAATATGATTATCAATGACTGCTAATATAATGAAGAGAAACAATTAGACCTTATGTGTACTGCCAGCCTTGCTCCTCAATAAATAGTGGGAGAAAAAAATGATCAATGTAAACTATGTTTACAAAAAATATGAGGATCAAATAATTATAAACTTCACATAGAGAAGTAATCACCAAAATCTATACTGAGACACTAAACAGGAAATACGGCCTGCTTTCATAAAAAAAATAAATTGCAAGGGAAAAAAAAAACAGAGGAAGGGAAGAGAAAAATGCAAGAAAAGGCGGATTAAGCCGGGGATTTAGCTCAGTGGTTCTGCCACCTGCCTCGAAAGCACAAGGTCCCGAGTTTGATCCCCCGCACTACAAAAACAAACAAACAAACATGAAAAGGCAGATTAAAGAAAATAAACTAAATCTTTAATTTGGTATTCTTTCAGTTATTTTAGACAATTCTGATATTCTCTAAATCTGTTTTTCTACATAAAACACTGGACTCTTAGATAACACCAAAAGGTAATTCCTCTGGTTTGTCACAGTACCTTTGGACTAGCAAAGCATTTAAACCATTTAATCCCTAATCAGCAATATAAGCTCATTTCTATGTCTCCATGAACATATTAACAAAAATGATGGTCTACAAATGGTCAACTCAGAAAAATAGTGGTTTTATTTACGGAGGTGGAAGGTAAAAAAGGAACATTTGAGAAGAATTTTTTTTTTTTGGTACTGGGTATTGAACTCCGGTCATCGAACTCCGGTCCTTGTGCTTGCGCAGCAGGCAGCGAAACCACTGAGCTAAATCCCTGGCCCTTGAGAAGAACATTTTATTAGCACAGAATGTTACCTACGACTTTGCTTTTTCACATGTGTTTATTACTATGCCATCCATTATTTCACATAAAGCTGTACAGGGTTTGATTTTATGAGAGGTACAAGTCTTTATTCTCATAGATTTATATGTCTATACTTTGTAATTCTTTTTTTCAGTTGGTCCTGTTATCATCAAAGTGCTTAATTTGTTACTCTAATTGGAAGTAGGAAGAGAAACACGCTTGTTAAAATGTCAAGTGAATTCATCAATGAACACTATTTGGACCATTTCAGTTGTACTGGCATGTGCAAATGTTATTTTTAATTAATGAGGGGGCAGAGGCAAACTCTGTGTCTAGAGAGCAGACAGCCTCAGTGGAGAATTACAGGTCGTCTTCACTTAAGAGTGCACAGAATGGGACCAGGGACTTAGCTCGGTGGTTTCGCCGCTTGCTGTGGCACGCACAAGGACCCGAGGTTCAATCCCTGGTACCAAAACAAAAAAAAAGAAGAAGAAAGAAAAAAGAGTGCACAGGATGTTTTAGAGGACAGATTTAGTTACTTGCTAACTCAGAGACTCATCTATCCTTTTATATAATTATTTATTAGTTTCCATTCTTTGTGATTCTTAGCTATGCTTTCAGTAACTTGATATTGCTAAATAACTAGTTGTTCTAACTTGTTACATTCCTTACTCATTAAATGATTAAAAAATACAAAGTTAAAAATAAAAAAAGTAGTAATTTTAGTCACTTAAGAGTTGAGTGAAAGAAAATGAGTGAATACAAATGAGAGGGTTAATACAAGTAAAGCATCATCATGATCATCATCATGATCATCATCATCACAATGGTTGACATTGTTCAGAAAATACTCAATGATTGATTGATTGATTTTTGGAGACAAGGTCTTGCTATGTAGTCCAGGCTGGCCTTGAACTCACTGTGTAGCCCCGGCTGGCCTCAAACTCATTATGATCCTCCTGCCTCAGCCCCCTGAGTGCTGGGATTATAGGCATACACCACCATGTCCAGCTTCCACTCAATGAATATTTAAAAAAAATTTAATCTATAAAAACAAATAATAGAGGTTTATATCATGTAAATCTTTTGATTGGATATAATGGTGCTGCTGTTTTCAATCTGACATTATTTGTTTTAAAGACCCCTATCTAGGGGCTGGGGATTTAGCTGAGTGGTGCCGCCGGCCTGCCTTATAAGTGCAAGGTCCCAAGTTTGATCCCTGGTACCAAAAAAAAGAGATCCCTACCTACCTGTCTGTACAAACAGATGTCAAATTGTGATCCAGAATAAAGCAGTATTTTATATTTTTATATTATTGAATAGAAATTCTGTCACATAAAAATCCATCTGCTTGCTCTTGAATATTATGTTCATCTGTTTTCATCTATAATTCTGAGCAAGTACTTTTTCTAAAATATTGAATTCTGAGTTTTAAAAAAAGGCAGCAAATACTGAAAAAAAAGCTTGAAGCTCTCAGTAGAACAGAAATGAACTATTTCCCAGTAACTTTCAACACAAACTAAAGGATATAAATTTCAAATAACAAAAGGGGCATAAGACCTAGAAGTAGTTAAATAAAAGTTTAGTGATCTGTGATGATCTTTTAAAAGGGAACATCAAGAATGCTAGCATACTAACACTAAGCTAGTTCAGAGAAAACAGCATAACTACTAAGATTTATACACCAACTTTCTGAAATGGCAAAAATGTATTTTTATTACCTACGTAGCATATACTTTCCCTGAATGTAAAATCTGTGGGGGAAAAAGCTGCCAATGAATCAATTCCCAAACCCAGAGGCTGTTTAAAAATGGGCAGCGACAAAGCTTCTGCTAAAAGACCTTGACTTCAGACCTTCCTGTGCTCTTCTATATAAGGTTGCAACCGGAGCAAATTAATTGTGTTCTACAGCAAAGGCATACACATTGGATAAGAATCATGCTTCACTGCTAGAAATTAGAACTGTGGAAATTTCTATAGAACTAACAGTGTGGAATCTTCATAGAATAAAAGCTTCAGAATCTCTAGTTTATATCTTATTTTTTTCTCAAGTAGGAAAAACAGCCCAGATTAATCCCAAACAAAATGATCTTAACCTAAAATAGTTTACTAAAGTCCTCCCAAATGTCAGAGAGAGATCTTAAGACTATAAACTGAATAAGGGTCACGAAGTGGTCCAAACCACATAAGTGGTAGTTTTAAACAACGAAGCTGCTGCACTCTGAAAATGAATGCATCAAAGAGGAAATAACCTCCTCGGCAAGCTTACAGCTACACAGCACGTTTGTCTCACTGCTTCCAAATGCGGTGCTGGAGGCTCTGCATTAGTCAATGGGAGGAGGACTTCAGTAGCAGCAGCAGCAGCAGTGAGTCCACTGAACGGATAGACAACAGCATGCTCCGCAAAGTCACAAGCAAATGAGAGGTAAGTGACAGGTAAATAAGGACCTAATCTAAAGGGTCTGTTGGTGGTGTTGCTTTGGTTTTTAATCTTTAAGAACTCTGCTTCCACAATCTTTTGTATTCAGTGGCTTAAAATGAAAAATTTACTAATGTTAAAAGAGAGATTTTTAAGATAGGACTTATAAATTTAAGACAAATGGTTTAATCTTCCTCCTAGCTTCTTCTCCTCAAAGGGGATGTGGAAAGTTAAGGGAAAAAATTAGCACTTAAAGAAACAAACAAATGAAAAAGAACTGGTTCAAGCTCGGCAGATTTACTGATTAAATTTAAAAAATACTTGTTGCCAAAACATGCTATGAAAGATAAAATTACTAAAAACAACTATTTGGATACTACTAGTGGCTATTTTTTTTCTCTCTCAAACTAAAGGAATTCTAAAACGTTATAAAAATGGCATTTAAATTGGCAAGAAAAAAACTTAATCAGGCAAATCAATTACATATAAGGATTCCTAGCCGGTAAATAATTTATTTAGAACTTCAGATTTCCTAGGTGGGTGACCAGGATATACCAAAAAATTTTATTCAGAACTATTCAGTGTTTTGCCTTTTCTATACTGTACATTTTCTACATTAAAGGTAAAAAGACAGTTGAGAGCCAGGAAACAGTTATTATAACCACTGAAAAATTAATGTGTCTCTATCATTAATATTTTGAGGCAAATCAGGAATATACTTTCTGTGTGTGGGAACTGGCTGCATTGTCAAATGCAGGATAGATCTATAGAGGGGCTGCTTATTAAGTTCAAGTGTTTTCACTGTTTCACTCTTTTCGGAAATAAATAATGCAACTGACATGTTTGTGTGTCTAGGAGAATGCTGGCAGTCAAATTCAAATATAATTTTACAACTTCAGCCAGTGAGCGAGACCAAGAGAGACAGAGACAGAGAGAAACTAATAGTTTTATTCCACTGAGCCTTCTGAAATCTAGAAAATAATAAAACTTAGAAGTCTTACCTAGAAACATGGACATATATGTGTACACTATCATTTTAGAGACTATGAAATTTTTTGTTTTTAAAGGAAGGAGTCAACTTTGGCTTTGAATGCCTGGCCTGGATACAATGCCTTAAAAAAGGAGATGACCAGCTTAGCTACTGACCATGGATTGAAACATAGAAAACTGGAACTGGATTGAATCACAGAAAAACGGCGAATGGCTTTCTCTTATACAATGTCTGAACAAAACCTAATTCCCAAGCATGTTTTGCAGAGCACATTCGATGACTTAATCTCTTCTAACTGGTCTGGATTTCAGAAGGAATTAATACCAGAGGAAATGAAACAGATTGTTGAGGAACAGGGAAATAAGCCACACTGGGCAGCTCTTCTGATACTTGTGGTGATAATACCCACCATTGGTGGAAACATCCTTGTTATTCTGGCCGTGTCACTGGAGAAAAAGCTGCAGTACGCTACCAATTACTTTCTTATGTCCTTGGCAGTGGCTGATTTGCTGGTTGGATTGTTTGTGATGCCAATTGCGCTCTTGACAATAATGTTTGGTAAGTATTTCACTTTGTTCCTGCCATCAAGCCATAGAACTGTATCATACACTATTACAGAACTGGACAGTCATTTAACTTTTACTTTCTTTGAAATAGAAAATGGACTTGAACTATTTAAAGATATAGCAGGTAATAATTTTTCACATTTCATAATTTTTATGGTCAATAATCAATTTAAAAGGACAAAAAATAATTTGTTGGAAACAATCTTACTCCCTTCTCAGCCATCCAATGAAATTATTTAAAAAGTAATTCATATTAGCAATATTCAAAGATTCTATATACATTACTCAAAAAGTGTAATTATCAGACCTATACCTTAACTTTTCCATCACTTTTTCCTTAATGAAGCAGTAATTAGGACACTTTGGGGATAAGTATGTGCTGGGCTAGTTATTAATGATGAGGTCTTTGAATAATTAAATAATCACTGACTCAATATAAATTGCTAAGCCCCAATTTAAATTTGGAATTGTTTTAAAAATTCTTCTTACATCTCTTTATAGTTTACACACTTTGAACTTGAACACAATTCCTATATATATGTCATATTAAGAAAAAATGTTGGGCCGGGGATTTAGCTCAGTGGTTCCGCCGCCTGCCTCGCAAACACGAGGTCCTGAGTTAGATTCCTAGTACAAAAAAAAAAAAAAAAAGAAAAAGAAAAAGAATAACTGTTTCATTGCTAAAGGAAATGGTCTGGCTCAGAATATCCCAAGAGATATCCATCTGTTTAACTTTTTACAATATCTGATCGTCTTATGTTCCTGACAAACCTTGAAGTTAATAAAATTAAATGGACCAAACCTGAGTCACTGTGATAACGAAAAATGTACTTTAATAATGAAATTGGTTATAATAAAAATATAATATTAAAATAGATGGTTTAGTTTCTGATTTATGCATATCACTTCTAGTTATAACATATGCGTAAACACTAATAATTTTATTAATGAATTATGAGGACCCCTACCTCAGAGTCGGCATTGAAAAAATATTTAACTTAAGTCAATTTCTGGTATAAACTGATACTCCATTCATAAACTGCTTAAGAAAAATGATTATTTGTAGTAGATATGGCTCATAAGAATTATATTTACTTAGATGGTGAGGATAAATATTTTAAGATAAAAAAGTAAACTTAAACTAGAATGGACAAATTTATTAAATTAGAAGGCAAAGACAAACTGTTATTCAGCTCTTTTCATAAGCAACAACAGAAAAACACCTGAAATTACTTGTTCTCTCAAATATAATAGGATGATAATGGGTTTAAATTTTTCATTGTAAATCAACATTGCCTATTCTTTTTTTTTTTTGGTACCGGGATTGAACTCAGGTCCTTGTGCTTGCGAGGCAGGCAGCGGAACCACTGAGCTAAATCCCCAGCCCATCATTACCCATTCTTTAAAATCAACCAAGAAAATTCTGTATCAGGACAAGCAATAATGAATGAGATTCTACTGCTTCAGTGAGATTCTCTAATAATTTTACCAATACTCCTCCCATTTACACATTGGCTTTTGAATAATCTAATGCTACACAGAACCATGGAAACTGAAGAAAGCTTACTCTAATACAGAATGTAAGAAAACTTTTATTTTTATTTTATTTTTGGTACTTGGGATTGAACTCAGGACCTTGCGCTTGCGAGGCAGGTGGCGGAACCACTGAGCTAAATCCCCGGTCCGGAAAACTTTAAAAGAAATAAGGCAAGTAAGGATTATGTAGAAATATATACACATATTTGGTAAAGACTGTACAGACATAAAATTCAAGTTCTCATTTCTATCTTCATAATAGTGGCTCAAAGTATTAAATCACACTCTACAGGGCTTTGCTAGGCTTACAGAAAATGTCAAAATGCTTATTTCGTACGATCATAAACTTTAGCTAATATTTACGGTGAATAATTGAATGAGTTATACAAAAGTGAATTTTAACTTTAAAAATCCTTGAGTCTATAAATATCAAACTCTCTGCAAAGTACTTTAGTAAGTACTTATATTATCAGCTAAATAGTTAAGGAATCTTAAATGACAAAGCTCCTTAGTGAGCTGACCAATGATATAAAAAGACCTAATAAAGGTAATTAACTCCATATATTCTATAGGAAAATACTATATATTCCAGCAACTAAAAACTTTAATTTATATATAAAATTTTAGTGCCCAAGACATTCTTGGCAATAAAATGAGTAGAAAACAAACATTCTGGCATAAAATATGTAGGATTATCTTCATATTTATATCAATAATTATAATATATTTAACAATATTTTATTCAAATATTATTACAAAACAAAATCACAGCTTCATTTTTATTATCAGTAATTATGCTACATAATTCAGTTAGTAAATTTTTAAAAAATGATCTAACCCAGGTACTCAATTTGGTTTAAAAACATTACTCCATGACTTCATTATTTAACATATGAGTCTATTTCTGTGAGAAAGGTATGAGGAGATACATGCTGCCCTCCACAAGCTTCACCAAAGCATTTATAAATTGGAAACTGCATATATTACACATATGAAACTGATTTCAAATAGTAAGATTTGTGCATAGCCTTTTACATGATGATAAATATGAAGACTTTCTAAAGTAATGCATTTAGAAGAATTTCTGATAATTTTAAAAGGTAGAAAGAGAATATGTTTTTCTCTAATTATGGGGCTAATATTCAGAACTTCTGAAGTCCACAAAGAAGTGTCCTTGGTTCTGTAATCATAAAAGTTTGACTATTCTGTCTCAGGGGAAATTCAATGAAAGCAATACAGAAGCTTTATTTCAGCTAGTATTCTAATAAAATTTTAAGTTTAAAAAAGAGAGCAATAAAACTAAAAAGTAGCCCTTAAACTGAGGGATATTTTATTCAGCTACTGATTTGTATAGTATCTAGTTACATACTGTTTGAGTTTCGATTTTACCAAGATTATGACAACTCTGGCACAACAGCCTTTCAAGTAAGTTATGCTAGGTCAGCTTTCTGCCACTTCTTCCTATCTGGGAGCACTGCACTCAATCTTTACAGTTCTAGCTTTTACTTTCTTGTCCATAGTTTCTTTTTCTTTTCTTTTTTTTTTGGTACCTGGGATCGAACTTGGGACGGTTAGCTTACTACATAAAGCCTGAAAATGCCTACATTAGAAATACTTGAGCAAAAAAAATTGCAACATCTTACGCTGATTAAAAAAAAGACAGGATGGGGCTGGGGATTTAGCTCAGTGGCACCGCAAGGTCCTGAGTTTGATCCCCGGTACCAAAACAAACAAACGAACAAATGACAGGATGTACACTTCAGTACTTCTCAACACGGCATGGTGGTACATCTGTACTCCCAGCACTCTTGGAGGTTGAGGCAGGATGATAGAAAGTTGGAGCCCAGCCCAGGAAATTTAAGTGACTCAGCAAGGCCTTGTCTCAAAATAAAAAATAAAAAAGGGCTGTGGATGTAGCTGGGCAGGCTCTGGATTCAATCCCCAGTACCACTGAAACAAAAACTAAACGACAAAATCCCCCAAGAACTCCAAAACACTTGAAACTTTTCCTTTTCTCAAGTGATTAAAAATGTGAAGGGAAAATACATGGCATCTGATCACCGATTACTTACTTATAACTTAATCCATGCTTCAGGATCTGTAAGTTGAAACAGTATCTCTAGAACAGTTTAAAGGGTGTAAAGTGGCTGAAGGATAGGTTTTTGAAGGAAGATACACTAGGGTTTGAATCCTGGTTCTGTGCTAGATGATGCAAATCATTTACTATCTCAGAGTTCTGCCAACTTGTTTGTAAAATGGCCATGCAGGATCTTGCACTGTGGATGAGACTGTCAAGTAAGGCCCACCGTGAGACATACACTAAGTGGCAGGCACTGGTAGAGAGCATGCAAATTAAACATGTAATTTAGTTGTGATGTGAGTCTAACCAAAGACAAAACAGATGTACAGCAAGTAAGTGAAAAAGTCAGTTATACAATGAAATGCTACTCTACTCGATTCTGAAAAGGGGAGGGGGAAAAGTAATTCTTTTTTGGAAAGCAGAAATTTTAATTTTCATAAATATTAAATTACTTTAGACATTATCATATTAGACATCTAACCCCAGGATATTTTATATGCTTAGATATAGTAGAAAAACAGTAATGAAACAAAACAGAAGCTTTATAAAAATAATTTAAGTAGTGAATTATGTCTCTTTTCCGGAAGATAAATAAGTATTAGAATTTCTGAGATTAAAAGAAAACATACACAATTTAGTGACCGAGCAAGTCTCTATCTCAAAACAAAAAGTAAAACAATGGCCAGGGATGTAGATCAGTGCAAAGGCCCTGGGCTCAGTCCCCAGTAAAACACAGACGCATGCACACAGTGTTATTTGAAAACTGTTATTTTTTTAACACAAAGGCAATTTTGGATTTGTCCTTCTCCAACCACTTCATATACTGTATACTCTGTAAATTCTACAGGCACAGGTCTCTTGGAATTGACTTTTTAAAAAGTCTTAAACCAGCATGGTGGTGTTCCCGTAATCCCAGCTACAACCAAAGCCAAGGCAACAGGACTGTGAGTTTGAGTCCAACCTGGGCAGCTTAGTAAGACTCTCGAAACAGAAAGGAAGGGGACTATGGATGTAGCTCCATGGCACAGTGCTTGAGTGAAGCCCTGGGTTCAACTCCCAGTACCACCACCAAAAAAAGAGAGTTTTATGTTTACGTCCCAGATTTAGAGATTGATGCTAGTTATTTTCTGATAATATAATGAGGCATTCCAAACTAAAAGGTTTTTAGACTAAACCAAAACAGCAACAAGAACATAACCCCCAGGGACATAACCCCCAGCCCTCAGGCATGGCCCAATTATAATACATAGGGGTCATTTATGTTTCTGAGCTGTAATAAATAGCAGTTAAAAATTCAGTTAGTAAAAGATAGTTTCACGACAGATTTAATTCCAAATTAAAGAGTTAAACACATTCTCTTTCCTTCCCATGCCTCCCACCTGTACAGCTTTAAGTTCAATCAGATGTACTGTATTCCTTCGGCAGAAAGACATATTTATTTTAAACTGGGGATCTGGTTTGTTTCTGAGTTTCTGTTTTCTCATGGTTGGGTTAGCTGGCCAGGTTCCGTTAAATAACAGTGATAGCAACTAACATTTATTTAATTTAATTAATTTTTTTTTTGGGGGGGGATACCAGGGATAGAACTCAGGACCTTGTGCTTGTGAGGCAGGCACAGTGCCACTGAGCTAAATCCCCAGCCCTATTTATGGTTTTTTGAGACAGGGTCTCATTATGTAGTTCAGGCTGGCCTTGAACTTGCAGTGATCCTCCTGACTTGCACCACCTTGCCGGGCCATACAACTAACATTCACCGAGTGCCTTCTCTATGCTACACAGTTCTGAGTACTTCACATGCATTACGCACTGAATCTGTAACTCTAGACTGTAATCCTCTACGATAGGTATTGCGAGCCCCACTTTTCAGAGGACAAAGGAACAGCAGGACAACAAATCTGTCCAGGATCAAACATAAGTGGCAGACTTATGAAGGAAGCATTAGAATTTCTGAACCCAGGAGGACTAGCTCTACAGTTCTGACTCTGAACCTCTGGTTTCTCCACTACTCTGCTTTCTCAAATACAATGAGAAATCCTATAGAGTCAAACTGTCATATTTGGCATTCAGACCCAACATTTATATATCTTAACTCCATCTAACAAAGGATTATATAATTTTCCCCCCAGGGAGAAGGCAGAATTTTGTATTTTTTTCAGTTAAAGTTATATTTCATACTAAATGATACAGAATACTGGGCTCTCAACCAATCCTTGAGATCACTGCCCAATGTAGACCCCTGTCTGAAGTGGCTAAACCTCCTCTGCGAGTGACTTCTCTGGAGTCCCTGTGTATGATGGTATCTAAAGCATGCCATTTTGCTTTAAACTACAAAATATTCCTGCTGCTAACAGTATTTAGATAGGTAACTAACTCAATAATCAAGACCCATGCAAGACTTGTTTTGCTCTTTTAATATTTGCTCTCATATTACTCCACCTATAATTATTTCAGGTATACACAAAAATGCCATTCTTTAAGCCTCATTGAAATTAATTCTGTTGAGTTTAATTTGAAAGTAAGTGGAGGAAGCAGGTAGAAAATAGGATTTGTTGGCACCAGGGATTTAGCTCAGCGGCACCACGCCTGCCTCGAAAGCACAAGGTCCTAAGTTTGATCCCCGGTACCAAAAAAAAAGAAAAAGAAAATAGGATTTGTTTTTCAGAGGAACTTTATATGCTTTCTTACTAGAGGACAACAAACTATATAATTTAAATGTTCTCTTCTTTCTAGTTTTTACGAGAGTCAAATTAGAGCCCCAGAATAGAAGGATTAATTTAGTCCATGTACCTGATAACTTACTTCCTGTGCTCGCTTCGGCAGCACATATACCGATAGCTTATTTCCCTTAGCCTCACTCTTAGATGTATTTTTCTTTTTAAAAATTTAAACTTGACCAGGTGTGGTGGCGCACTCCTGCAATCCCAGCACTCAGGAGGCTGGGGCAGGAGGCTCAACTCAAGTTCGAGGCCATCCTAAACTACACAGTGAGTTTAAAGTAGCCTGAACTACATAGTGAGACCCTGTCCCAAAAAAACAAAAACAAACAAAAACTTCAACCTGTAACTGTATCACTTGGTTATTTGAAATTTTAAATAATGCCCAGTTCCTTTTGGAAATTAGTTGGAAATAATACATTAGAACAAATAAATGTAATTATAAATTTGTAAAAAAACCTAAAATTCCAAATCAAATAACAAGCTTTTAAATAGTTACTATTTTACCACAGCATCTTTATTCAGGTATTTTTGATCTTGAAACTACTAAATTATTAACTGCAAAACTATTTTAGAGAGAAAGCATCTGAACCAGAAAGTCCCTTCATAAAATAATGTCTAGAACTGTTTTTAATTTCTGTAATTTTTATTTTTTAATTTCTGTAATTCTTAGATTACCTGAATCTATTAGACAATTACAGAAGCCTATTTTGCAGTGCTAGGGATTGAACACAGGGCCTTGAGCAAGCCTGGCAAGTACTCTACCACTAAGCTCTAAATATCCCAGACTATCAGAACATTTCTTTACTAGCAGCTCTACCTTTTTTGCTTTTTATGCAAGGTTTTTATTAATTTAATACAATTATCTGTTACTTACATGTCAAGTTTCACAAAAACATTATTCACTAGTACTTCATGAAACATACACTGTTAAAGACCCCTCTCCCAGCTGTGAATTAATTGTAATCCCCACTTTCTGCTCTAAAAGTGGAGTTTATAATTAAATTCGTTGTGTTGGAAAGTGAGAGGCCAACAAGATTTCATAGGCTTAATCAGCACTGGAAAGCTCTTCCTCTCAGCTCACAGTTAGGAGGATGTGGATCAGTCAGTCAAGTCCCGCAGACATGCACTTTTGCACATGACTCCTCTTGTGGCCTCCTGCTCACGGCTGCAAGATTTATGACTAGAATTTTCCAGACCTTCATTTTCAGAAGAGGCACATTTAAATTATTAGTAATCCATTTTAAAAGATGGTACACGCAAGGACCTGAGTTCAATCCCCGGTACCAAAAAAAAAAAAAGATGGTACAGAGAGAACACGCACCTAAAGATACGACACAATAATTATCCACCTTTTTCTTTCTTTTTTTTTTTTTTTTTGGTACCAGGGATCAAACATAGGACCTTGCGCTTGCGGTGGAACTGCTGAGCTAAATCCCTGGCCCTGTCCACCTTTTTCATTGTTAACTGTGATCAGTACATCTGATTATAACTCAAACTTGAATACCCACGCTGGGGTGCAGCTCAGTGGCAGAGTACCTGTCTGGCATGCACAGAGGCCTTGAATCTGCACCCCCTGCTGTAAAAACAACAACAAAACTTGAGTACTTTTCTATCTCTCTTACTTAGGGTCCTAAATCTAGAACTTCAGGTCATTTTGGAATGTAGTCTCACTTTAGTTTCCACTGCAAAACTTTCAGTGCTAGGTGACGCTTTTCACTCTACTCAGACTATTAGTTTGCTTTAAACTTAGGTCAAGGAATGTACTGCTCCTTTTGTCTAAAGTCATTTTCCACCTCTGAAAGAAAATTTGAATGCTAAGGCTAAGAGGGAGAAAATTAAATTTCTTAGATTCTCTCTAAACAGGTTTCTCTGCTACATTAATTTTTAAGTTTTAAAAGGCCTCCCAAAAGTTCTATTCAGAGATATTCTGAGTACTTATCTTACACCAGCTTGGTGCATCTAGATTCTAAGACATGACCTTCCCCAGAAAATCTTCCAGAGCACTGTGAAATAATGTTAAAAATGCTGAATTTAGCTGGGTGTGGTGATGCACACCTGTAATGCCAGCACTCAGGAGGCTGAGACAGGAGGATCACTGTGAGTTGAAGGCCAATCTGGGCTACACAGCGAATGCAAAGCCAGCCTGCACTATACAGTGAGACCTTGACTCAAAAAAAAAAAAAAAAAAAAAAAAAAAAAAAAGCTAAACTGCTGCTGACTTAGAAAAGGTGTTTTAATTATTATTAATGTAAGGCCAGGGATTTAGCTCAGTGGCAGCATGCCTGTCTCACAAGCGCAAGGTCCCGAGTTCGATCCCTGGTACCAAAAAAAGGGGAACACGTATGTAAAAAGTGTGATCTACAGATATATATATTTAGCACTATTGTCTCTAAGATCTTAAAGTTAAGCATAAAACTGAAGTTAAAACTATAAACTGAAGGTTGTCATTCTACAAGAGAAAATGTTTCTGATTGTTTTTTCTTTCAGAGGCCATGTGGCCCCTCCCACTTGTTCTGTGTCCTGCCTGGTTGTTTCTTGATGTTCTCTTTTCAACTGCATCCATCTTACACCTCTGTGCCATTTCAGTGGATCGCTACATAGCCATCAAAAAGCCAATCCAGGCCAATCAATATAATTCCCGAGCTACTGCATTCATCAAGATTACAGTGGTGTGGTTAATTTCAATAGGTATGTGGAGAATGCCAAGGTATGGGTGGAGGACACAGTCTTTGGTTCCTTTTGGCTAGGGAAATGCCAGGTCAGGAGGTCGGGAAACTCTGCCTTAGAAGTCAAGCAAGGCAAACTACTGATGTAGCCACACAAGGTACTTATGTCATATTCACCATCTAGTATCTAAGCCAGACCACCAGCAAAAACTGTGAAGGAGTAGCAAAGTTCATGTGCTCTGAAAGAAGTAACTCCACAGTGTTTATGGGTATCATCCCACTTAATTTGGATATCCAGGGAGGCTAAGATGAAAAAGTCTTCATATCTGCCAATAGATCATTAAGGTCTAGCTCACATAAGTAATTCTACACTCACACTGAAGTAACAAAAAAATGAAATGCACTATATTTTCAATCACATAAGAAGATAAATAGGAAAAAAACCAAACCAAACATTTTGTATCAGTTTATAAGTTAATCTAGGAAGGCAACATTTCAATATGTATACAGATTAAAGGCAGATAAATGTCCATTCTCATCTTTTAAATATATTAAAAAGCTTTAAGATAGATGCAAAGAAAATATTAACCCGATATTCAGAAATTATTTATAGAAAAATAAAGCATATTTGTTCCAAACTGTTCTATGGTCTTATGCTTGTCTTTAATGCTCAAAGACAGCGGCTGTACTATGGTAGCTTGGCATGTAGTATGGCCCACAAGACTCAAAGCTCTGCTAAGTTCAGGGAAAAGCAGATGTATAACAAATACAATGATCATACCAGTATATTCACTTTTTTTTTTTGGTACCAGGGATCGAACTCAGGTCCTTGAGATTGTGCAGCAGGCAGCAAAACCACTGAGCTAAATCCCCGGCCCCCATATTCACTTTTTCCTAGTAAAATAAATTTAGAAAAGGAAAAATATAAGAGAACTGGAATGCTATAAGAAAGGCAAGAAAGAGATGTTACTTTCTCTCTCATCAGAGCAAGGATATAGGCAAAAGAGCAAAAATTAAGACCACTGAAATTGACCTTCATATTCCTGAAACAAAAAACTTCTTTGAAAAGTTTGGAGGTAAAAGCAAGGAGCGCTACTACTACTCTAGCATGGGAAGAAAGTAGGGTTAAGGAAAAAATCTACTTAAGAGTGAAGAGACTGGCAAGCGGAGAGAAGAGGCCAGTTAAGGGGCACAGCTGATTGATAAAGCATAACAACACAGTTCCCTGCCCTCCCAAAAAGCTAGAGAAGGAGGATGTGAGACCATGGATGATAATTAATAAAATCTGAAGTAGAAAGGAAAAAAAATGAAGTTACTCATTTCAAATGACCCATTTAGTTTGGAAAGCGCACTGCTGTGAAGGAAAGGGGAAGAGTGCAAGGTATGTCGGGGTGTGGTGAGGCAAACAGGCAGGGAACAAACAGGAGAAATGGGTCCTTAAGAAGAACTGAAACATTTGGAATTCTGAAATATAATAAATTTAATATAATAGCCTGTTGGTTAGAAGTATCTAAAGTAAGCCTGGATAACATGGATTTATAAATTGATCAAATTTTTACTGAGTACCTATAATGTGGTAGGTACAAAGAATACATGAACAAATAAAAAATAATCTTTGCACTCAAAGAAAGTAGATACATAGGGCCAGGGATTGAGCTCAGTGGTTCTGCTGCCTGCCTTGCAAGCACAAGGTCCCAAATTTGATCCCCGGTACCAAAAAAAAAAAAAAAGTAGATACATAAACAAACTACATTGCTACAAAGTGGTCATATATGCAGGACTAAAAGGAAGACTTCAGATTTAAAGATTTAGAAGGGATCTGAGAAATCCTTTTATAGGTGAAAAAAAAACCCAACAATCCTAGAGGTTTTTGGATAGTTGGCTTAAGGATGCTTACAACTTTTTAGCACTAAGACTAAATTCAATGCTCTTTTTACTTCACAATCTAGTAACTTGTACAAGACAAACCACATGTGACAGGATTAAGTTTAGTTTCAAAATTCTACAAAATGCACGTGAGTTCATTTTCTTCTTTTGAACTGACAGTTATCCTAGTGCTGTAGCTTGGATGTGGCCCCCAAAGCTCCTGTGCTAGAAGCTTAATCCTCAGTGTGACATTATAGAGGCGAGACTGCTAAGTGATGAGGTCAGGAGGGCTCTGTCCTCAGGAAAGGATTAAAGCCCTATTGAGGAGAGTGTTCATCCTTACAAAGGATGAGTTTGGCTCCCTCTTCTGCTCTCTCCTGTGATATCTTCTGCCCTGTTATGATGCAGAAACTAAAACACCTAGGAAACAGTAACCATAAAAACAACAGGGAGAAGATATAAAAAGTGTCAGTGAAAACTCAAAAGTACTGACCAATAACTGGACAGGAAGGCAATGTGAGCCTTAAAGGGTGTCATTAGAACATGAATATAGAGATGGACAGATGGACTAAAGATCAAGACAACAGTAATAAGAAGCTCTCTAGCAATGAAGAGCAGCAGGACAAGAAAGGCAAGATCATGATTTTTGATAAGGGATCATTTTAAGTGGACTTATGGATGGCTTCAGGAATACAAATAATTAAAGAAGTTCAAGACATAAAATTAAGATGTCAAAATCAACGGGATGAAGTCATGGACCATGACAGCAATGAGACAGTAGGGAGGAAGACTGAGACCACTGAGAATTGGAGAAATATCCTAGAGGGTAACAGATAAGCAGGATGGAAAAAAAAGAGCAGCGTAAGTACACTAGACCTCAAAAGAGAAGTGTTTGCAACTAGAAACAACAACCATGACCTGTAAGTAAGAGGATAGGGCAGGGAACAGCAAACTTTTTCTACAAAGGTCAAGAAAGTAAATACTTTATATTGCAGGTTCCGTGTAGTTTCAGTTACATTCTCAACTCTGTAGTAGAACAAAAACAGCCACAGACAATATACTACAAGGATGTGAAGTAAAACTTACAAAAACACAACGTGAGCCAGATTTGTGGCTCAAGCTGTAGTATGCTGACCCCTAGTGTAGAACAAGTAGAATCTTCTTTTGGCTGGTGAACACAAGAAAAGTAGAAATGGTATTGGCCTCCACCAGGAAAAGTTTGAAGGAAATGTTCTTGTCAAGGGGTTTTTAACTACTATGACAAGGCTGTGAGGACAACAGAGCACCTTTGGATTCATAAAATGGTATTAAGCAAAAGATCAGTTGATTTAGACATTTAAGAAATATCTCCTGCTTTAAAGGGAAAGAATTCGCTTTAACCCTGTGTTACTCATTCTTCTAGTTCACTATGTAACACTATATTTAAATATCTACTTCATAGTATTTAAAGTATTAAAAAATTTGCGGGACGTACATTTCATTCATAATAGAACTCTAAATCTTAAAAATAGTAAGTAGTATTTTTAAAATAAAAAATAAGCCCTTTAGTTTTCCCTAAAAAGTTAAAGGTTTAAAAGACACAAATATCAAAAGATAAAACTTAAACTGTATAGCCTCAAGAATAATAAATAAAATAGTGAGAATTTAGATACTTAATGACTGTACTCTGAGGTCCCTCTAGATCAACCACTGGATATTAAGATAAAGGCAGCTTCTTTGCTGAATTCCTTTTCCTTAACCTGGGATAGCTCAAAAATCAAAAACAGCTTATGAAAAACAGAACAAATGAAAACATTTCCTACTCTATCGTGGACATATTATATAGGTATAGGGAAGCTTTTATTACAACACAATGGTGGTGAACCTATGGCATGTGTGCTGCAGCTTGCTGGCTGTTATCACTGAAAGGTCTAAAAGGTTTGCCATCACTACACTAACAATTTATTTAAAAGCTGGCAGATGTGCATACCTAGGTTCTCCTTGTCAAAGGTGCCACTGATTAATGCCTGTCAAGGTTCTCCACTGAAGGTCCCAGGAACCACAATGCACTAATGAGCATAAAGTTCCTAGAAAACAATCTGAAAGAGGCCGCGGATTCAGCTCAGTGGTGCCACCACCTGCCTCGAAAGCGTAAGGTTCTGAGTTTGATCCCCCATACCAAAAACAAAAAACAAAAACAAAAAACCAAAAACTGAAAGGGCCAAACCTGAGAGTTTTAGGTCATAAAGTGACTCAATTTTTTATCTTGTTTCCTTTTCCTTAGGCATTGCCATTCCAGTCCCTATTAAAGGGATAGATACTGATGTGCCTAACCCAAACAACATCACCTGTGAGCTAACAAAGGAGCGATTTGGCAATTTCATGCTTTTTGGCTCTCTGGCTGCCTTCTTCACACCTCTCACAGTCATGATTGTCACCTACTTTCTCACTATTCATGCTCTAAGGAAGAAAGCTTACTTGGTCAAAAACAAGGCGCCTCAACGCCTAATGTGGCTGAATGTGTCCACAGTTTTCCAAAGAGACGAAACTCCTTGCTCATCACCTGAAAAGGCAGCAATGCTGGATGGTTCTCGCAAGGACAAAACTCTGCCCAACTCAAGTGATGAAACCCTTACGCGACGAATGTCCACAATTGGAAAAAAGTCTGTGCAAACCATTTCCAATGAACAGAGGGCCTCAAAGGTCCTTGGAATTGTATTTTTCCTCTTTTTGCTTATGTGGTGCCCATTTTTTATTACAAATATAACTTTAGCCTTGTGTGATTCCTGCAACCAGACTACTCTCAAAATGCTCCTGGAGATTTTTGTGTGGATAGGCTACATTTCCTCAGGGGTGAATCCTTTGGTCTATACTCTCTTCAACAAGACATTTCGGGATGCATTTGGCCGATACATCACCTGTAATTACCAGGCTACAAAGTCAGTAAAAACTCTTAGAAAATGGTCCAGTAAGATCTACTTCCGGAATCCGATGGCAGAGAACTCCAAATTTTTCACAAAACATAGAATGCGAAATGGGATTAATCCCGCAATGTACCAGAGCCCAGTGAGGCTCCAAAACTCAACCATTCAGTCTTCATCAATCATTCTACTAGATACACTTCTCCTCACTGAAAATGAAGGTGACAAAACTGAAGATCAAGCCAGTTATGTCTAGCACAACTGGTACAGTTTTCATCTAAGCTGATGAACAAGATTCCAGGTGCACCAAGAATACGTAAAGAAGAATTTTAGGTAACATGTCAATCATCTCTTCAAACTAAGAGTTAAATATTACGATTATCCAATTTTCTTATTTGGACAAAATTACTCTATGAAAAAAATAATTTTGTACAGCTACAAACAAAAGGAATCCAGCACTCAGGTTAAATGTTATGATTTTTGAATGAAATAAAATTAGACAATAAATTTCAGGCTTAAAAAATATCAATTTCATAAAATTTATTTAGTTCCTAATTTTATGCAAAGTTGTGCTAAGAATGAAATAAAATAAGCAAACATTAGCCTTGTCTTCAAGACGTAAAAGTGTAAGATGTGAACAAGTGACTGGAGCAAGGACTAAAAATAAGTGCACAAAACATCTGGGAGGCAGTTTAGAGAGCCACTTACAGTCTGGTTTAATTAAATACAGTCATAATTTTCCTTCACTCAGGACACTGTCTTGATAGAAGGAATAGGAGGACAATAGCCAGATATCCCATGTAATAGGATTGTAGAACTAGAACTGTTTGTTAAATGACTAGTACCAGGCACCTAATCAGCAGAGGGGTCTACTTAGACAAGAAGGAGGTAAATGAAATTGCTGTTGAGAATGTGAATCACGTTCCTTGGAGGTACTAACAGACAGGCTCAAGATTGATGCACAGGACCTCAACGGTAAGCAATCTCATAAAAAGACCACAGCTGCCTGTCTTTGTCCAGTGACTCAGTTGAACTGGCACAAAATTTTTCATTCACCATTTTATTATTTATTTTGTACTGCTAGATCTGGAAATGAGTCCAATCTGTGCCACTTAATGGAAAGCTGATGAATTAGCAAATGATATTTAATTTCTCTGAGCCTCAGTTTTCTCATCTACATTTTGTGCAGTTTTTATGAGGATACAATGAATATACAGTAGGCACTCAGTGAGTGGTAGCCAATTCTCTCTACTTAGTTTTGATTTTTTTAAAATGCTACTCCTGCAAGTGGTAAACAAATTTAAGCCGAGGGGATCAGTCGCAAGGACAGCCCATACCTTAGCTTTGCATTTAAAGTTGATCCATACTTACGCTTCAGCCTTTTGCTCTATCACTGACTCTTTCTAGGCAACTAACTGAGTTTAGGGAATTACCTCAAGAACTGTGTTGGCTATGGAGAATGTCAGTGTAAATGAAAGAGGAATATTCCCCCAGTGGCAGAATCCTTTCCTAGAACATGGATCCAATACACAGATTCTAGTCTGTAACCTTTACTTATGGGCTTTATATCATCTGCTAGGAAAAGTATATTCTAGAAATTTAATTCCTAAATCATCAAAGTTTAGGCACTTTTCTCTACTGGTCTAAGTTTTTCAGCAGTATTTTTTTGTTTTTGTTTTTTGAGACAGGGTCTTGCTATATACAGGCTGGTCTTGAACTCACTATGTAGCCCACACTGGCCTCAAACTTGTGGTTATCCTCCTGCCTTAGCCTCCAGAGTGCTGGGACTACGGGCATGCGGCACCATGCCTGGGTTCAGCAACTTAAGGATGGGTTATCTAAGAAGCATATAATTTATGTTCCTTTAAAAAAAACAAACTCCAAAAAACCCCACTAAAAATCATTCTTTATTTTGGTTCAAGAACCTAGTATGATGAGTTTGGCATATGTTAAGATTTATACTCTTGCCGAATACATGAGATTAAGTTTTCAGATACTGCAATGACAATACATTATTCCAAGTTCTGTATTTTATGTATCTGAAGGCACACATAATTCTTTCAGGAAATCTAAATACCACAGTTGGCAATCCCACTGGCAAAGCTCTACCCATGGACGATCTAGATCAGAAGAACTATCCTTCCACATGCTCTGTATTGCTTCCAAATTTGTATATGTGTTTTCCCAACATTTGTAGGGTTTTTTTGGTACTGGGGATCGAACTTAGGACCTTGCACTTTCGAGGCAGGCGGTGGCACCAATGAGCTAAATCCCCAGCCCTTGTATATCTGTTTAAACATATGTGTACTTATAAAATTTGCTATAATACTTGTAATCTACTTTGCTTCAAATTGTTTTTAAAATCCTTGCTTACAGTCAACTGAGAGATTTTTCTATAGTTAATGAGATCATTCTAGTACTTTCAGAGTATCCTACAAAATGAAATACAACTCTGCTAACAACCATTTCTATAAAAAGTACAACATAGTCCCAATTTTTTTTTACCACTTTGATACTTAAAAGATATTGTAAAAATGCATGCATTTGATGGTAACTGGCTGGGGTTCCTTCAAAATACAGAGTATGAAGATGCAAAATTTTTATATTCAAGGAATCAATGAGTGGTCTAAACTATTTGTACCAAGTATTTCTCACTCATCTTGCAAGATCCATCTATATCTGAAAGCTCATGAATATACACATTGAAAAATTTCATACTTAATAGCCTCAGCCTAAAACAATTAGATTCTATTAATTTCCAAATGAGTAATAATGCCAAGCACAGTAATATACAAAGAATCATTAGAATAGTACAATCTGCTAACCAGACTGATACAACAATCACTTTCCTACTAGGCATTCCCCTATGGGTCATTTATTTAGATAAAAATTAATGTATTAGGTTCATTTCAAATTAGCAAGAGTTTTCCATTAAATTTTTTTACTTTTATTATAATCATTGTGAATAAATAGCCATTCACAAATATCTTACGAAACAGTAAAAAATACTACAACTTCATGGACTGTCTTATGAATAAAGGAGATCACAGTAATATACACGAGAATTTTATACAAAGACAATTTTATCTTAGTTGATGAAATAAAAATACAAATGCTGGGCCGGGGATTTAGCTCAGTGGTTTCGCTGCCTGCTGCGCAAGTGCAAGGACCCGAGTTCGAGCCCCGGTACAAAAAAAAACAACAACATATGTTTCCTTAACAGGTTGGTATCTAATAAGCATAACCTAAAAATGAGTTTTTAAAAATTAAGAAATAAGGGCTGGGGATTTAGCTTAGTGGTTTCGCTGCCTGCTGCGCAAGTGCAAGGACCCAAGTTCGATCCCCGGTACCAAAAAAAAGAAATAAATCCTTAAAATATGGTACAAGGCCAAATGCCTTCAAAGTCACTTTAAAAGTGACATCCATGGGGGAAGGGGGCGAGGAGGGGGGGATAAAATGGAACACACAATAAGAAAGTACATGAAATCCTATCAGAAAACAGGTAGCAGTCTTAGAAAACCGAACAGACTCTTCCCAAATATTAAAGTTAATGAGGAAATCTGAGAATAAAAATGTTCTATCAGAGTGTCTTAAGGAAAATAGAGCTCTGATAGAAAGACATGGTGGAGAAAGCCCAATGAATCATGAAACTTCATAGAATCTAGCTCCATGACAATGGAAACTTTGTTAACCAATTTGGAATTTCCTTTTCTTACCTTGTTTTTTTTTTTTGGTACCGGGGATTGAACTTGGGACCCTGCACTTGCAAGGCAGGCGGTGGAATCCCTGAGCTAAATCTCCGACCCTCCTCCCCTTATCTTAAAAAATGAGAATAGCTGGGCATGGTGGTGCACACAATCCCAACTACTCAGGAGGTTGAGGCAGGAGGACCTAGCCAGTTCAAGGCTAGTCTGGGGTACGTAGTGAATTCAAGGGGTGCTTGAACTAAATAGAGACCTTATCTAAAAAAAAAAAAAAAAGATAAAGAAGGTTTCTTGCTCTGGGGAAATGGCACTAAACTAAAATCTAGAGAACTTGGTTTTAACTCTAGCCCCTTAAACAAATTGATTATATTTAATTTTCTTCATGTATAAAATAAGTTCTAGGAAGCATCTTCTCTGAAGTTTTTCTAGTTCCTACTTCTTAAATAATCATATTGTGGGACGAGAACTCAGGAAGGTCCCTTAGAGGTTAACAATTACATAACTCATTAGCTAGATTGGACTATGCTACCATGATACTCAGGAGTGAACTTAGCAGTGCCTAAGAACAGCTCACAGGAGACACCTGCTGCTAAAATTGGGAATTTAGCACGTGTGTGTGCCACAGGACATATAAAGACTGAAATTAATTTTATTAGACAGAAGCACTCTCAGGTTGAAAAGGGAAACAAACAGTTACATAAAGCCCATCAATTGCCTATGGAGCAGAATATACACAGCAGAATACTCACTTATACGGGAGACTGCAATATTGATTATGTCCAAAGCTGGCTGTAAACAGTGTAGGCTGTGAAGAGTTAACCCCACAGTTGGCTTGTTTTGAGAAGTGAATCGCTAATGGCTACATGCCGAGGTCAGCGTAACTTGCACCCAAATTCCATTCTCACAACTAAAACCTACTTATTAGAAGAACAATGTTCTAATTATAACCATACATTTTGTCTATTCTACTCCTAATTAAGAGAATGCTTTGTCTTTTCCTTTGCAAACCTTGCCTCCATTAGTATCCACAGAAACTGCATGATTGTGCATCCTCGCATGTAGCTCACTTTTACCCCAACTGATGACCAATAAAAATCAGTGGCTTGGACGGACCAGTGCCTTTTGCTAAAGTAGTATTGGCCATCTGGCTCCCTGCTTTCTGTCTCTCTTAGTTCTGTCTTTTAGGTTTTTTTCTCAGGTCTGCGTTGTACACTAAGCAAGAGACTGGAGCCCACTGAAGAGGTTTCTGTGGTTTCCAGTCACTTATATTGAGGTGAATATAGAGTCATTGTTAATAGGAAGAATTTACACTTGCAATGAAGAAACAAAACAATGTAAAAGACAAATATGAGTGAGATTATACAACCCAAGTTACCAAGAGCACACTTGAAAGAATATACTTTCCACACTAAAATTATCTAGTTTCCCAATAAGAATTTTTTTTTTTTTAAAGCCCCATTTGGGATGGCAATGACAAACCACTTAAAATTTTTCTTTTTTGTACTGGGGATTGAACTAAGGACCTTGTGCTTGTGAGGCAGGTGTGGTGCCACTGAGCTAAATCCCTAGCCCCTAAAATATTTGTTTTTAATTGTGAATAAACTCTAGCAAGACTAGGGAAGGTTAGGGTCACAGCTTGGATGGATAATATGTCAAAGATGATAGGAAGGAAACAGAACTACTCAGCTTCTATTTTGCTTCCATCTTTTCTCTCAAGGAGCATAATTTTATACCAGAAAGATAAAACTTATTAAAATGTAAAACAGGTGAAGAGACTGGCTGCCTTAGGTTTCAAATTTCAAAGCTAAGTGAATCACCTCCCCGAAACAGAATGTGTTTATGGATGAATTTATGGAACTCTAATGGCAAATCTTAGAGGAAGAACAGAAAATGGTAAAGATACAAAAAGACTGTTAGTGCTCACCTATTCAAATGTTAAAAAAAAGACAGGATTCAAGAAATTAAGTGTGGAATCCGTTGTATATCTTTTGAAAATATGCAGAATAGCTTTATACACATACTTTTTGTCAGACCTTAGAAGAGGCAACAATGAACACCTGACATTTCTATGAAAAGTGACACATAAGAAAATCTCACACCAAACTAATCCTATTATCAGAGGTACAGGACCAGAGCTGGGTAAATATTTTGATAGGATTCAGTGAGGGTTCTCTGGTATTCTGGGAAATAAATTGTACAAATGAAAAAGGGTAACAGGCTGGGCATGGTGGCGCACACCTGTAATCAAAGCACTCAGGAGGCTGAAGTAGGAGGATTGCCGCAAGTTCGAGGCCAGCCTGGGTGACATAGTGAGTTCAAGGCCAGCCTCAACTACATACCAAGACCCTATCTCAAAAAACAAACAAACAACAAGGCCCCAAGTTTGATCCCCGGTACCAAAGCAAACAAACAAACAAACACACAAAGGGTAACAGTAAGGAGATTAGTATTTGGTTGAAAAACCTCACTGAAGAAAACTGGTATAATAAGAAACTTCTCAGCATGCTACTAGCTGGATTCCCCATCCTTTAAAAAATTTATTTATCTATCTATCTATCTATCTATCTATCTATCTATCTATCTATCTATCCATCCCCCACCCTTTTTGAGACAGGAACCAGCTAAGTCACCAAGTTGCCCAGGCTGGCCTTGAACATTTGATCCTCCTGCCTCAGGCTCTGAGAGTACTGGGATTACAGGAGCACGTCACTATGCCTGGCTTGTTTTTTGGTTTTGTTTGTGGTGCTGGAGATAGAATCCAGGGTCTCATACGGGCTAAGTTGAGCTGCATCCCAACCATGTTACGTTTCTTTCCATCTTTTATCCACAATAGAAAGAAAACATATCGCAGTTTGCAGTAAATGGAGGTGACTGCCTGAGATATTATAGAGAGGGTCCCACACTTGATTCACAGTGGGTTTTCACAAATCCACACTGAGTACATCAGTCTTGCTTCTTTGCAAATACATTCTCAGAAACCATAGTATTCTTTATTCTTTTTCAGATGAACAGGAC